GGAAGGACAGAGAAAGAGATGGGGAGGAAGGGAAGGAAAGAGAAGGGACAGGGAGGGAGGGAGGGAGGGAGGGAGGAAAGATGGAAGGAAGGACAGAGAAAGAGATGGGGAGGAAGGGAAGGAAAGAGAAGGGACAGGGAGGGAGGGAGGGAGGGAGGAAAGATGGAAGGAAGGACAGAGAAAGAGATGGGGAGGAAGGGAAGGAAAGAGATGGGACAGGGAGGGAGGGAGGGAAGGAGAGAGAAAAAGAGATGGGGAGGGAGGGAGAGAGAGAGAAAGAGAGAGAATGTACAAAGTAGAAAATCTGACTCTCCTACGTAAATCCAATTTCTCTCTAAAGCCGGTTCAGAGTTCTAATCCTGCAGTGGCCCTTGCTCTAGGGAACCTCTTCCCTTTGGAGAATCAAAGGGCCCAATCCAGCCTGAACACCTTGACTTAGCGCTCAACCGTGACAGCGCCTTTTTGATGGCCTGCCAACCAAGGTGAGGTCATACCCAGGTAATACAGCCGGTGGGAGTGAGGGCTCGATTCTTCCGTCTTACGGACGAACTGGAAGTCGTGGGGGGCCTTATTCACGATCATTCCCGTGTACTTCCGGCTGCCGTGAATGATGTCACGCAGCCCCTCCCACGAGTGTTTCTCCACCTGGAACTGGGACGTGGAGGCGTCCTCCATCTCGACGGCCTCGGCGCTGTCGGGCAGAGCGTCCACCGCTGTCATCTTCAGCCTTCCTCCAGAACTGGTCAAGGAACTAAGAGAAAAAAAGAACAGAAGACAATGGAGAGGAGGCGAATGGAAGGATCTGCCTTTAACAACGCCTTAGCAAGGCCATGCCTGGAATAACTGCATCCGGTTTTGGTCACCAGGTTACAAAAAAAAAGACGTTGAGAGCTTTGGAAAAAGTGGAAACAAGAGCAACTAAGAGGATTAAAGGCCTGGAGATGTGAAGAAGGGTTGCAGGATTTGTATTTGGCCAGTCTAGAGACAAGGAGGGACATGACAGCAATATTCCCATACTAGCTGGATACCCAGGCTTCGCTACGAAACTATGGGGTCGGGCTTAGTTTTTGGGGAGGAAAATAAGGGGAAAAAATTCTGCCTCTGCCTACCAGCATCCATCGGTATTCACCTGGCTAGCGTCCCTGTCAGTGTGTGTGGAGAGTTGAGGGCTGTTTGGAAAGTTGAAACAGCATTTGCTGTGTGAACAAGGAGACAGCAAGGAGCCTGGGCGTGGCTTAGCTCAACTGTTCTGTACTAAAGCTGCTTGGGGTTGTGAAATTAAAACAGAAACTCCTCTCCTCTGCTTGTGTTTTGCATTTGGAAGAGATTTCTTTTCATGTGGGGACGGGGAGTAGAACCCCTTAGCATTAAAGCCTGTTAATAATACTATACAAAATACTACTGTGTTTCTCATATAATAAGGCCGGGTCTTTTTTTTTTTTTTTTGAGCCAGACCGCAGATCCATTTAACAACACGGCGAATTGCTTGCGATCCTTAAAACAAGGGTCGTAAAACTGAGCTGTTCGCACTGCGGCATGGCTGACGACAATCACCACCATAACTTGAGGACAGCCTGTACTAAAGTTACAGAAGACGCTCGCTTGCTATCAGCCACCCTTCACACCGGTCCTCTCCAAGCTGCTAATCCGCAGGACCGTCCCACTCCTTCCTCAACAGGGCCCTCTCCCATCAGGTGGCCAAATGCAGGAAGTCCTTGACTTATGACTACAACGGAGCCCTGAATTTCTGTTACTAAGCGAGACGTTTGTTGAAGTCAGTTTGGGGCCATTTTAAGGCCTTTCTTGCGGCAGCTGCCAAGGGAAATGACTACAGTGATGAAGTTAGTAATACGGTTGCTATGCAAGTCCGGTTTCCACGTTGACTTTGCTCATTCAGAAGATCCCAAAAGGGGATCAACGGAGTCCAGGACACTGCGACCGTTAGAAGTACGAGTCCGTTGCCACGGGTACGAATTCTGGTTATGTTATCCATGGGGATGCTGCAATGGTCGTTAAGCGTAAAAAACGTTCAAGTCACTTTTTCTCATTTTCAGGGTAACTATGAACAGTCACCACCCAGGTTTCCCCCAAAATAAGACCCTGTCTTTTTTTTGGGGGGGGGGCACCAAAAAAGGTAGCAGGTCTTATTTTGGGCCTCACTTGCACGCGTCGCCCCCAGCCTCCTTTTCGTTGTCAGAGGCCTTCAGGAACTTCTTCTGCGGCCGGCGAGGCTTTCCTGAAGGCCTCTGCAGCCAATAATGGAGCTCTGGATCGATCCAGAGCTTTGTTATCAGCTCCAGAGGCCTTCAGGAAAGCCTTGCCAGCTGCAGAAGAAATGGGCCGGCAAGGCAGGGTGTCGAGGTGTGCCAGGCCCGGCTACAACTATCCAAAGGTAAGTAGTAGGGCAGCTCCATCACCCCAATCCTCACCCTAGCTTAAATTTTACCCATGCACTCTGGAATGGGCGGGATCTTAATTAGGGCTTATTTGGGGGTAGGGCTTATATTGAGTGCACAAGTTAGGGCTTACTTTCAGGGTAGGTTGTATTTTTGGGGAAACAAAGAACTGTTGTAGGTCAAGGACTACCTGTATGTACACTACTTGAAGGCAACAGCTTGAAGGAACAACACTCGGTGGACCATTTTGAGGGGTCTAATCCCTCAACTCTTGTCTTTTCCAAAACATCAAAAACAATTCTGGGGAATGTACGAAAGACAGGGGGAAAAAAAAAAAGAACTTTCTATTCTGGGTAAGAAAAGCTGTACAAATTGTCCAGCAAGGGACACCAAGACTTCTTTGAATATCGCTTGGACAACTTAGAAAAAAATAAAAAAAACATTGCAAAGCCTTCTCGGACTCGCAATGAGTTGTGGCCGTGAAAGCGACCACGCTCAAAATAGCACCAAGGACCCTTTTTCCTAAAACCTTTTTGAAAATCAATGATCACTCACCCCAGACAGCTGTGCAAAAAAAAACCAACCACGCACCGATTTGGCCTCTCTCCCCTCAAAGAAAAATCCAAACAAATATTCTGATGCAACTTCCTGCAGCCTCTCACCCGATTCCTGACGTGGTCTTCAAGGCCAGGGGGTGACTGTGTTTAAACGCCAGGGCTGCGTCTCCGTCTCAAGGCCAAATAAAGGGGGATTTTGTTTTCGTTATTCGTGCATTCCCATACTAAGGGATACGACAATCACCCAACGAGGAAGTATCCTCTTTAGGACCGTCATTCAGGGTGGAATTGAACCAACGATACAAAACAGATGTGGAGACCCGGAAGAGCAACGAAGGTTTGGAGACTAAATCGCAGGATGAACCGTTGAGGGAGCCAGGTGTGTGTCGCCTACCAAAGAGAAGTCTATGGAGATTCTCAGGTCACGGTTGTCCCAAAGGCAATCGGACTTTCTGGTTTTTCTTTGAAGACATTTCACTTCTCATCCAAAAATTCTTCTTCAGCTCGGATTGGACGGTGGGGAACGGAAGGATTTATACTCCTTTGCAGAAAAATGGTCATTTGCATCCTTTCAGAGGGTCGTTGAGGCCGCTTGGAGGTTTGTGCCTGTGTCCCTCAAGTGTTCTCTGCTCCTGGTCCCTGCAGAAATCCTGTGCTTTCCGCAGAACATCCTGCAGAAAGCGCGGCTCCACAACGCAGACCTTTCAGCGGTTCCAAGAAGGCTCCACACACATTTGTGGATATTCAGGTGACCCTGAGGACACAAGAAAACCTCCAAGCCGCCTCAAGGACTCTCTTAAAAAGAACGCAAATGACCAAGCTGTCTGCCAGGAATATAAATCCTTCTGCTCCCCATCATCCAGTCAGAGCAATGATGAGAAGTGAAATGTCTTGGATGAGAAGTGAAACGTCTTCAAACACAAACCAGAAAGTCCTGTCGCCCCTTGGAAAAAAAAAATAAAAGCACATTTGGGACTATCCAAGAGAAGGATTAAGGGAGGAACATGATAATTGTCTTCCAGTACTTGAGGGGCCGCCACAAAGAAGAGAGGGTCAACCTCTTTTCCAAAGCACTTCAAGGCAGGGCAAGAAGCAACGAACGGCCGAAGTTCATGAAAGAGAGATCCAACCAAGAAATAAGGAGAAGTTTCCAGAGAACAATTAATCCTCGGAATAGCTTGCCCCCAGGAATTGTGGGGGTTCCAACACTGGAGGCTTTTAAAAATAAGGCTGGATAACCACCTATGCGTGAAGCTCGACGTGCACGAGGCAGAAGGCGATTGCCCTTGCACGCAAATTTAATTGAGTGTAAGCACTCTCCACTCCTGCACGTGGAGCTATGCGTGCAAGCACAAGCGCAAATGCCTGCTGATTTTGCGAGTGGAGCTTCGTGCATGAGCGCCAAGTATCCTCCACTCGCACAAAGCTCATTTGTGCGAGTGGAGGATGCGTGCCTATCACTTGCACAAATGGACCTGTGTGCGAGCTAGCTCCTGCCACTCACACGCACACGCACGCACATACCAGGCCGGGCAGCTGGAAAGGTTGGGGACCACTGGTATAAGATCTCCTGCCCTGAGCAGGGGGTTGGACTAGAAGACCTCTTAGGTCCCTTTCAGCCCTCTGATTCTATGTTCTGAAAAAGGAACATCCAACTCACAGTAAAGTGAAATCAGTATCAAAGGAGGGAAGGTGCCCCCTGAAGTTGACTCAGGAAAAATAAATAAATTCAAATCTTCAACTCAAAAATTAATCTTCACGGATAGCTATAAAATCCTGCCTTAAGAATTCCCACCCACCCCGCCCGTTCCAGGGAATGTCAGCTTGATTTCAACATCTCCAAGCGCCTTTAATCAATCAATAGCCTTTTTAAAATGCCTCAACAGCTCCGTAAGAAATTTTGGAAGACAAAGAGATTATCTCTGGGGTTTTGTGTTTTTTTTTAAACAAAAACAAAATGTCCACGTTAAAACATCCGGGGCCTTAACTGCACAACCGGTGACGATGAGGAGCTAAGGAACAAAAGAAACTCAGATTAAAAAGCAAAGGAAAAGAACGCCTAGGGATGAAGCCGCCTCTTATTTTAAGGCTGAGCGGAGTTTATATTTTGAAGGTCAGTTTGAGGGAAAGAGAGACAGACAGAGTCATAAATGATCTAACCCCCTGCTGATTAAATATGGCAAACTGCCTTCCTCATTTTCATAGTCAAACCTCACCACACATACACAAACTCACTAAGTCATCTTGTCCCTCGCGTAGGTGATTACGGGGGGGACAAAACGGAAAACGCTTTCCAAAGGACGTAGAGATTTAAAGACACCTGAAGCATCTAAATGATTTTGTCTTGGGTTGAGAGGCATATAAACAAAGGGTAAGATTAAAAAAAAAAAAACCAAGCTCAAAGAGCATCAGGGACCCAACAGCCGGCCTCCAACTCCACACTCTTCAAGCACTGATGATGTTACCTAGTAGGGTAATGAGAAGTCTGCAAGAAAGCAACCAAGTTCAGTGAGTACCAGAGACCCCCATATAGGGAGAAATATTAAACAGTATGGAGTTGTGGGAACTCCATTGCTGGAAGCTTTCAAGAAAATATTGGAATGTTTGTCTCAGGTGGTATAAAGACTTTGCCTTGGGCAGAAGGGGTTGGACTATAAGACCTCCAAGATCCCTTCCAACTCTTATGACTTTATAAAAGCCCCCATTTTCAAAACACCAGGGACACAAAATGACCCGCAGAAATGTTTAGCGAGCTGTCTAATTAAGAGAGCAAAACACCGTGTTGTTTTTTTTTTTCTTCATCCAAAAGTAAATATTATGACGAGCAACATGGAACAACCTGCTATAAGCTGTAGCTGCCTGTTCTTAACGTTGCACCAATGGACAATCCCAGCCTCCTCAAAGAGAAAACAGGCCCCCTGAGGAAAGTTACCTTCTCCAACTTCCTGTGCTTTCGTTTTCCAGCCGAGCCCTCTTTATTTTCTGCATCAACTGCTAAGCGAGCCTTAGACGGGATAAGAAACTGTGTGGAGGAAAAAGGAAGAAAAGCAGAAGCGTAAGAGAGGCCGCTAATTAAACAGTCTAGCTAAAATGAATTTTATTTCACCCATAAAACCTGGATCAAAATAACCCCATTGCGTTAGGAGTGTCCAACTCATCTCTCCCCGCCAATTATAATTTTAAAGGCAAAATACTAAATAAATGGCAAGTAATTTCAAAAACTGTATGCAATTTGATTTAAATTTGGGTCCGACTACATCCCAGCATACCGTGAAAGGCCCATAAAGGATTTTGTATTGCAGAATAGCATGCAACACCTTTTAAACGTTTCAGCAACTCAGAACCAAGGAAAATCTTTCCTGACATTTAGAACAATTAATAAGTAGGAGGAGGAATTGCCTCCAGAAGTTGTGGATGCTCCAACACTGGAGGTTTTTAAGAAGAGATTAGATAACCGTTTGTCTGAAATGGTGTAGGGTTTCTGCCTAAGCAGGGGGTTGGACTAGAAGACCTCCAAGGTCCCTTCCAACTCTGTTATTCTGTTGTTTTTCCCCCAAACATTACAGGGCAGTTACCAAGGACTGAATTGGAGAGTTTCTGCATGCTAATTCTGGAATCTGCTAGCAATCTCAAGAATGAAAGTGAATGAAATGTAGATTCTTTTTTAAGGAGGGGGGGAAAAAACCTCCGATCAGAAAACTGCATATTAGTAGTTCTAGCATTTTCTCATTTTCCTAGAAAAGTGCCTCTGTGTATAATTATCCAGCTCCTAAATAAAAACACACACACACAAGTGGATCACATCCCAAATTGTATACTGAGACTGCAATCCGGTAGATAAAGCTTATAACTTTTATAATTGACGTGACTCAGGAATCCCAGGCCTATTACATTAACATTCACCTATCAAAATAAAGGTTGGCCTGATCATTGATGGTTTGAACTCGTGTACCTTTCTAGCCACCCACCCACCCCCAGACAAAAACAGAGAGGGCACCAACAGATCAGATCAGGCAAGCTTTGCTTGAATAAATAGAATTGTTTATGAATTTGAAAATGAACGTTGATGTAACAGGACTGCAGTTTTTGGTTGAAATGTCTGCAAAACAACAACAGCAAAGCTCAGAGAGCACCCAGGACCTCACAGTTCAACCCCGAGTAATATTCTTTCCTCTATTGGCCTGACCTTTTCCATCGCTGGTTTGAGAACATGTTTTAATTCAAATTTAGCCAGAAAGGACTACCGTAATCAAGGGTCTTTGCAATGCTGCAGACCCAATTCCCACCTTAATTTACCAAACTCGTCCTCTCGTCCAACCCAGCATAATCCAATATAATTGCTACGAACCTAAAAGTAAATTATTGTACTTTGTTATTGCTTTCACGTGACAGCAGCCCATCCATACAACTGTGACCTTCCTGGTAATGACAGCACCTAGATGGGCTGTGAAACGTCTGCAAGAAAACCGCCAAGCTCAGAGAACACCAAGGACCACAAAGTCCTTATCCTGCAAACCCCACTCTTCCTTCTAGCACTGACGATGTTACCTAGATGGGTCATGAAACGTCTGCAAGAAAACCACCAAACTAAGGACCCCACAGTCTTCTTCCTCCTCCTCAAACCCCTTTCCCTTCTAGCCCTGATAATGTTACCTATGTTTGCATGAAAACCACCAAGCTCAGAGAGCACCAGGGACCCCAATGTCCATATCCTCCTCCTCTCTGCAAACCCCATTCCCTTCTAACACTGATTATGTTCCCTAGCCGAGTCACAAAACGTCTCCACAAAAACAACCAAGCTCAAAGAGCACTAAGGAACCTCACAGTTCTCCTTTTCCCTCCTCCTCTCCATAAACCCCTCTTCCCTTCTAGCACTGAAGGGGTTACCTGGCTGGGTCACAAAACATCTGCAAGAAAACCACCCAGCTCAGAGAATATTAAGGAACTACTCCTCTCCACAAATTCTACTCTCTTCCAGTGCTGATGATGTTGCCTAGCTGGGTCACAAAACGTCTGCAAGAAACCACCCAGCTCAGAGAGCACCCCAGGACCCCCACAATTCAACCCTGAGCTACAAATGTTCCTTTCTATAGATTCATACAACAGACTCGTCACGCAATAATATAGAAAATAAATAAAAGACAATGTCCTACAATCACAGCCAGGTTTCTATTACACACACACACACAAAAAAAAAAACCCCAATTCCCCCTCACCCATTTTAACAGATTAACAGAGTTGGAAGGGACCTTGGAGGTCATCAAGTCCAACCCCAACCCACCCAAGCAGGAGACCCTGCACCATTTCTGACAAATGACAGTCCAGCCTCTTCTTGAAAGCCTTATGTGCATCTAGTGCAGGGGTGGGCAACTATGGCCCTTTTATGAATTATGGACTTCAACTTCCAGAATTCCTGAGCAAGCTAGCTCAGGAATTTTGGGAGTTGAAGTCCACAAGTCATAAAGGGGCCATAGTTGCCCACCTCCAGGAGTTCCACTAGATGCCCATAAAACAGGAGGGCAAGCGAAGCGTCAGGAAATACAACCCCAGAGAAAGAGGCAGCCCAGGATGAATGATTCCATTCCAGGGCGCATTGTCTCCCTCCCTCCCTCCCTCCCTCCCTCCAAAGGTCACCTCCCTGAAGGATCCATCTTCCACCCAGAGCCAAAAGAGCTGTGTTTCTCTATCCTGGCAGCTTTCAGATGGGGGGGGGGGAAGACTACAACTCCCAGAATTCCCCAGGTAGCTTTGCTGCCTGGGGAATTCTGGGAGTTGCAGTCTTTCTCTCTCTCTCTCTCTCTCCCCCCCACCCCCATCTGAAAGCTGCCCAGGTGGAGAAACGCTGCAGCTGAGCCAAAGGAGAAGCCATGAATGAATCTACCCCTTTCTCACGCTCCAGCCCAGGGCAGGTGAGGGCAATCCCAGGCCAGGCCAGCTCCCATCACGCCCTTAGACCCCCAAACGCCTCCAGGCGCTGCCCGGGCTCGCCTCCTCTCCGGCCCCGGCGCGCGCATCACGTGAGTGCCAGGGTCCGAGGGGCGTGGCCACGCTCCCTGGAGGGCGGCCGCAAGATGGCGTGGCCTCTCGCTCCCTCCCTCCCTCCCCGCGAAGGGCGTGGCCACAAGCCCCGCCCACCCACCCACCCCCCGCCACACGCGAGCTTCGGTCGCGGCCGTTGGGCGCCGAACGGGGCGTGGCCAAGCCGCGCGCTCCCTTCTCAGGGCGTGGCCAGCGCTCCTCAAGGGCGGGGTTTCTTTCCCCCATTTCACCCCTCCCCCTCCCCCACCTTACCCGCCAGTCCGGCACTCAAGACGTGGCTTGCCGGCCTCCCCCCCCAAGGCCGTGGCTTGTCCGCTGTGGGGGAAAAGGGGGAAGGGAGGGGTCGGGAGGTCCCGTGGCGGCGTCACTCCCGCTCCATTTCCTTTCCTGTGGACTCAGGAGGTCCCGAAAACGGGGGAAGGGGGGGGGAAGGGAAACCGCCGGTCTCTTCGAGCCTCCCACCGCGACCTTTCGCCCGGAAGCGGAAGAGGGTGTCGGCCTCCTTCGGGACGCTGCGTCATCTCGCGAGAAGGACGGGGAAGTGGGCGGGGGGGAGAATTGAGAGGGAGGGATTTCTTCCAAGTTCTCGCGAGGGGGTGGACCATAAAATACCGGTGAGGCATGGTCTCGCGAGATTGGGGGGGTTGGCGCGGAGCCCCAGTTCGGAGATTGGGGGCGGGACTATTTCATTCAAAATATGAAGGGTTTTTTTTGGAAAGAACCATTCGATAATATTGGGGGGGGGGGGAGATAGCGTGGCTGAGAGAAAAGGGTTGGAAGGTTCGAGGAAATGAAAAAAACGACTTGAGAATTACAAAATTCTGTCGCTTTTTAACTTTTCACGCTTCGTATCTGCCATACCGTAGCCAACTCCTGACGGTTGCAAACAGAAAACCTACAAATGACATTAGTTATGTGTAAAATGAAATTAAACTCACAAATTTTGTGTTAAAATGAAACTAAACTCAAGGACCGTTCTTTGGACGGAACGGTTCCCGAAAGAAGAGAATGGCGGCGCTGGGCCACGTTGCCATGGCAGCGGCCGACGTTGCCAAGGTAACCAGTGCGGTGGAGCCCGGCACCTGAGGCGGAAGAAACCATTTCCTTAAAAAAAGGAGGGAAGTGGATTGTGCCTTCCAGGAAAGGCAAATAGACCTACCCAGCCAAATAGCCGTTTCTTTCTCGTTACCTGCGGAGCATTTTTTTAAAAAAAAAAATCTTTGGGACGAACGACATTTAATGCAGAAAAACAATATTCGTGTCGTGGTTCAGAAATGGTTTCGCCCGCATTGAGTGACGGTTAGAAATGGGAGTAGAAGGAAGACAAGCTCCCGAAGCGGCGTTGGTGGTATAGTGGTTAGCATAGCTGCCTTCCAAGCAGTTGACCCGGGTTCGATTCCCGGCCAACGCAAAGTTGTTTTTGTTAATTTCGCAATAATAACCAACTTTGATTTTATTTACTAAAAATTATATCCACGGATTGCTGTCAAGCACCCTCTGTTAATTCCCTTATTTCCCCTCGGCGTGCTCATTTCCATCTCTTTTCCTCATCCTATTCTTCCCCCAATTCCTGCAAATCCATTGCACCTTTGGCAGGAAATCTGGTTTTATTTGAAGGGGGCGTTGGGGGGCACTCCTGTAACTTTAATTTTTCGTTCTCAGATTGCTTTGCACCATGCAAGAACGAAGCTAACTCGATTAAAGCGACCCATTAATTGAAAAAGGTGAAGAAAAAGGAACTTGGAAACTCTTTGAACCCAGTGCAATTCTGAAATGCAACTTGAATGCAGAAAATAAAAAATAAACTACGTTAAATAAATAAAAATGTTTCCGCCCGGGATTGAACCGGGGACCTTTCGCGTGTGAGGCGAACGTGATAACCGCTACACTACGGAAACCCACCTATAAGAAAGCTTCTTATTTTTCCTTCATATTAAATATTTTAGATATTCCTGTTCTGCAAAACAAGAAGAATGGGATTCCTATTCTATTTCTGAAATATTCCTGGGTTCTGTTTTTTTTCCTTTTCTCACTGTGTCTCTCTCAAAGGAAAAGACCTGTTTATAAACTCTTGATTTAGGTTGATTTCATTCCTCCTGTCAATCAGTTTACTGCAGGAATATTTTCCAGAATGTGCTTTTCTGGGCTGTGGATCACACTGAAATAAAATGAAGGCTGGCCTCAATGTGTAGTCCTTTTTGAGGTACCACAGAATTCCCCAGCCAGACTGGCCTTCAACTCCCAGAATTCTCTATCCAAGGTGGACTTCAACTCCCAGAATTCTCTATCCAAGGTGGCCTTCAACTCCCAGAATTCCCTATTCAGGGTGGACTTCGACTCCCAGAATTCCCTATCCAGGGTGGACTTCGACTCCCAGAATTCCCTATCCAGGGTGGACTTCGACTCCCAGAATTCCCTATTCAGGGTGGACTTCGACTCCCAGAATTCCCTATCCAGGGTGGACTTCGACTCCCAGAATTCCCTGGCCAGGGTGGACTTCGACTCCCAGAATTCCCTATCCAGGGTGGACTTTGACTCCCAGAATTCCCTATCCAGGGTGGACTTCAACTCCCAGAATTCCCTGGCCAGGGTGGACTTTGACAAAAATAGGGCATGATTTACTTAACAAGAGCTTAGCAATGGAAATTCTGGTCAAAAATGGAGGATTGACTACTCATAACATTTGCCTTGGATATTCTCTTCAAAATAACTCCTCAATTCAATGTTTGGTTCACACTGGAGAATTTGCCAACAGAGGTCAGAACCCGCATAGATATCAAAATCCATCTTTCTACATCCAGAGAAATTAAACGCTGGCAAAAAGATAAAACTTCAGAAATACCGTTCATTGACCCATTACTTATTTATACACTTTCTAACCAAAATTTCTCTTTTAGAAAATGAAATCTAACAAATCATTTTCAAGGATTGCTTTGAAGTCCTTCATCTCGTTGATAGGAAGTCACTCAAAATTAAGAGTAATAAGAACACTGATATTGGTACAGCCTTTCTAAAAACCATATACTAAAAAAGATTTTAAAAACTGAAGTATAGCACCTAAAGTGTAGGCAAAGCAACACAGATTTAAGCAAATGTTAAATTGCTCGGGTCAGTAGTGTAGAATAGATCAATCTTGCCAATTTAAAGATGTATGGGCTCCGATTCCCAGAATTCCCCAGCCAGGTTGGGAAACAACCCCATTTGTGATGTTCTGTCGATCTCTGCCAAGAACTGGAGACTTCAGTCAATGAACCATGTTACTCACACTTGCAGAGTTGAAACTGAAGAGTTTATTGCTGTGTTCACAATCATGGCAAGAGATGTAACAACGGACGTCCATGTAAAGTCAGCACTGAAAACTCTCAACATTGTTTTATCCATCCCTGCCCAATGACCTCCGCCCCACCCTAATCCACCCATTATCTAATTATCCACCCCACCACCGCATGCCTAATTACACCATGCTTAAGGTAATATTACGTTCCTCCCTTCACCCTACCCACCCCCCATTAGTATCTTAAATAACAATGATCACTTTGCTTTGAACCCGGCACTGTGTTAAAGCCATACATTGCACAAACAAACAAACCAACATCCAGCCGTATTATCTTGAGTTCAAAGGCTACACAGCCTTCCCACATTCCGAAGTTGACTTCTGAGGCTGTGAAATGTCGCCCTCCCTCCCTTCTCTGCTGGTCTGGTTTGGCTGCCTGCCAAGTTGCAATGCCGGACTCCAAGCGCAGATCAGGGATTCACAGCTCAAAGGCACAGCCGTAATGTCCGGCTTCAGGACGCTGGTAAGATGTAGAGCCCGACACGTTCTTTGCTGACTCCTAACAAGCAAAGCCAGTGAGGAAGCCAGACCGTTCGCTATAGTGGGTTAAGGAACCCGGTTAAAAAGCGGGAAACTGTGAGTTCTAGTCCCACCTTAGGCACAAAGGTCAGCTGGGTGACTTTGGGCCAATCACCAGGAGACTGGGAATTCTAGTTCCACCTTAGGTATGAACACCAGCTGGGGTGACTTTGGGCCAATCACCAGGAGACTGGGAATTCTAGTTCCACCTTAGGTATGAAAGCCATCTGGGTGACTTTGGGCCAATCGCCAGGAGACTGGGAATTCTAGTCCCACCTTTGGCAAGTAAATTGACCGGGTGACTTTGGGCCAACTACCGGGAGACGGTGAGTTCTGGTCTCGTCTTAGATATGAAAGCCATCGCGGTGATTGCGGGGCCAATCTCCCTCTGCCTCTCAGCGAAAACAGGAGCAGGAAAGACGTATTGGATATGTTCAGTGTCTTGAGCTATTTGTAAAAATAACAAAGGCAAAACAAAACCAAAATACATAAAATAAAATAAAAGACGCGAGAAAAAGCAAAATCTATCCCTTTGCTCCTTCTTTTATTACAAGAACATCGGCCTTAATGTCAAGTGAGCCATTTTTCTCACCCCACCCCCCAAAAAACAACAACCCCCAAACCCCAAACTCTTCCCAGCTATGCTGGCAACTTGATGAATCGTTCCAACTCTCCTTTCATGTCCCTGGTTTCCCTCCCTAATGAAATCAGACGGATTGCAAAAAGTTCCTCATTTTGCTTTCCCCACAACATTAAGGTTGATTGGCACAAGCTGGGTCTGAGGCAGCCTCGGGGGTTCGGCTGATTGTGGACGTCCGTCCCCTCTTCTCCCGGCGAGGCAGCGGCCTCCTCGCCATCCGTGTCCTTGCTGCACCCCCTCCCATTAGGCGCCCAGGTCTCTCCTTCCCCAGAGATGCTCCAGGGTTGTCGAAAAGCACAACCTGTGCAGATGCGTGAGACTGGGCGGGGGGCGGGGAGGGGGATCAAACCGTCCGTGTGCGCTGCGGTTCCTTCCACCAACATGGCTTCGGTTGCAAGGACTTTAATTGGCTTTACTGGATGGTCGGTGGCCTTGCAAAAAATGGATTCTCAGTGCTAAGGAGTTTGAAGGTTCCCCAGGAAGGTTCGCGCAGGGATCAAACCCAGATTTGGCATGGCTTTCATCAATAGGCACCGATAGGTTAGATAGATAGATAGATAGATAGATAGATAGATAGATAGATAGATAGATAGATAGATAATGGATAGATAGATAGGTAGGTAGGTAGGTGGATGGATAGATAGATAGATAGATAGATAGATAGATAGATAGACGATGGATGGATAGGTAGGTAGGTAGGTGGATGGATGGATAGGTAGGTAGGTAGGTAGGTAGGTAGGTGGATGGATGGATGGATGGATGGATGGATGGATGGATGGATAGATAGATAGATAGATAGATAGATGATGGATGGATAGATAGATGATAGATAGATAGATAGACAGAAAGATTAGATAGATAGATAGATAGATAGATAGATAGATAGATAGATGATGGATAGGTAGGTAGGTAGGTGGATGGATGGATAAATAGATAGATAGATGATAGATGGATAGATAGATAGAT